CACTCTTAATTGTAATAAAGTCATATTGTTCTGTGATACTCAGTACGGGGACATTAGCTACTTTTTGCATGACGTTTAAGTAGAAAACAAGAGCTACCAGAAGACATTACTGCCTATCCATTCCACAGTGGAGTCTAATTTGGAAGATTGCGAATTCTAGTTTCATTAAAATCCCTGGCCATTTTCTTTTACCACTTGGCTGTTCTACAAAATGAATTCTCATTTACATGGGAACAGGCTGAATAAGATTATAACAGGGGGGTGGTGTTTTTTTTCCAGGACAGCAGATTATAACAAGAACTCTGCTTTTGATTTTATGTTGTTTTATAAAATGATCTCAGATCGTTTCCGAGTTAATTCAAGTAATGTTTTGGAAATTTCACCCCTACCAGAGTTACTTTCTTTTAAGAAATTAACAACCTTGTCTGGATGCCTTAAGTCTTTGGCATCCATGCCAGGGCTGGTGGAAGTTACAAATGGAAAATGCATCTGGAAGCCGACCCTATTGAAAATAGTAAATGGTCCTCCTTTAGGGACGGTTCACAGTTACAACAGTGAGGAAAAAGTAACTTGGTGACCAATTCTCTCAATTGCAACCTTGATAGGTCTATAAAACAAAGGAAAGCTGAAATTAGAGCATAAGCACACAATCATGGTTTCATTTAGCAACCACTTTGTTTAACAAGTTGTGGTTGCTAAATGAGGACTACCTGTACAGATTAGAACTTGAGTTTGGATGTGCTTCCCGTTGAGTACATCTGAGTGCACAATCCAGTATATCTAAATCTACATTGAAATTTGCATCTGATATAAAGGTAGTCCTCTACTTACAACCATTTCTTTAGTGACTGTACAAACTTACAACCTCACTAAAAAAAGGGGACTTACAATCGGTTCTTGTATTTACAACCATTACAGCATGCTGCAGTCATATGATCAACATTCAGATCAATCAGCATATATTTATGATGGTTGAAGTGAGAAACTCCCACCCAGTTTTTGATAATCAAATTCCGTGAGGAAAGCCTGATTTACTTTACAACCAGATAATTCACTGAATAACTACAGTGATTCACTTAACAGCCATCACAAAAAGGTCATAAAATTAACAACCTCCTTGTTCAGCAACAAAATTTCTGATCCCAATTGTGGTGAGAACTAGCTAAAAGTGTAAGGACTGAAGATAGTCAACAAAGAGGATTAGGGGACTGGTAGCTAAAACATAAAAGGAATGGTTGCAGGAACTGGGTATGTCTAGTTTGATGAAAAGAAAGACTAGGGGGGACATGATAGCAGTGTTCCAATATCTCAGGGGTTGCCACAAAGAAGAGGGAGTCAAGCTATTCTCCAAAGCCCCTGAGGGCAGAACAAGAATCAATGGGTGGAAATGAATCAAGTTGGGAAGCAACTTAGAACTGAGGAGAAATTTCCTAACAGTGAGGACAATTAATCAGTGGAACAACTTGCCTCCAGTAGTTGTGAATGCTCCAACACTGGAAGTTTTAAAGAAAATGTTGAATAACCATTTGTCTGAAATGGTATATGGTTTCCTGCCTAAGCAGGGGGTTGGATTAGACGTTCAAGGTCTCTTCCAACTCTGTTATTCTATTCTAGTCTGTGGCCTGTCTGGCAGAGGGCAGAAAAATAAAATAAGACATACAGAAACAGCTATCCTCTGATAGGGACACGATAGAGAGGTGTTGCTTCTCCAGTGTCTGCCACATATGCTTTCCAGCAGCACTCTAAGCCAGGGGTCTCCAAACCTGGCCACTTTAAGACTTGTGGACTTCAGTGCTCAAAATTACTCAGACAGCCAGGCTGAAGTCCACAAGTCTTAAAATTCTTCTTTGTTGTTGTTAGTTGTGAAGTCCTGTCTGATCCATTGCGACCCCGTGGACAACATTCCTCCAGATCTTCCTGTCCTCTACCATCCTCTGAAGTCCATTGAAGCTCATGCCTACTGCTTCAGTGACTCCGTACAGCCACCTCATTCTCTGTCGTCATCCTCCTTCTTTTGCCCTCAATCTTTCCCAGCATGAGGCTCTTCTCCAGGGAGTCCTTCTTCCTTCTCATTAGGTGGCCAAAGTATTTGAGTTTCCTCTTCAGGATCTAGATTTCTAAAGAGCAGTCAGTGTTGATTCTCCTCTAGGACTGACCAGTTTGATCACCTTGTAGTCCAAGGGACTCGCAGGAGTCTTCTCCAGCACCAGAGTTCAAAGGCCTCCATTCTTTGGCGCTCAGCCTTCCTTGTGGTCCAACTTTCCACATTCTTCTTAGGGTAGTAAAATTTTCCCTCTGAAGTTCTGGTTTTGGCTTCTAGGCAGCTTCCCTTCCCTTGGGGACAATCTTCCACTTTACTGGTTTGTTGGGAGGAAACTGTGGCTAAACCACACCGCCTCGTTTCTCACATATGTGCCTTTAGCTGCAACCAGAATTTGGCCAGGAAACAGAGATGTTGCCTTGCAGACAACCAAGTTATTGTCATGAGATCTCTAACAGAGCCATCCTACTGAATCCCACTGAATCGGGTACCACTCCCCAAGAAAGGAGCCTTCAGGAACTTAGCAACAGGCTAAGTTGCCCACATTTCATACCTAGGAAGGGGAAAAAATGGGATTCAAGTGAAACATTTCATAAAGTAATGTGTTTTATTTTTTATTATTATGTTGACCCAGGGGCTTCCACTCAGTGGACCATCTTAAAAAGTGCTCAAACTGCCCAAGGCTGATTGCTTAGATTTTATTTTTATTCTTATTTTAGCACCCATTATAAAATGCCCTTGTGGTTCATAGGTGAATGGCCAGTTAATAGTTCCTGTACATTTGTATGCCTCTAGGAATGGATTATGCAACAGACATCCTTTTTTAAAAAAAATTGGGGAGGGGGCACAATATTTTATCAGGGGAAACAGCTCCTTAGGCAAGATGACTGCAGATCTTCTAAAAGGCAAAATACGTCTGCATGAGGAGGAGGAGAAGAAGGGGGGCTTCCCATCACAGTAGCTTTTTAGGACTTATATAAAAGACAATTTGCTCTAAAACGAAGGAATGGAATAAGAGGCTCAATAAATTGGGACATTGCCCCAAATAATCTAAGGCTTTAAATGCAGAGATTTATATTTTTTTTAAAAACTGAGCAGGGCTGCTGGCTTGCATATCCTCAAGTATGTCTCAAAGATGCTTTTTCAAAAGGCAAAGGGACTTTGTTTCTCCTTGAAAATGTTTTGCTTCTTCAAGAAGCTTCTTCAGTCCTGAGAGGAGGAGAGAGGAAAGGGGAGAGAAGGAAGGAAGAGCAAAGGAGAAGAAGGAGGGGAGGTTTAGAAAGAGAATGAGAGGGGGGAGGAGGAGGAAGAGGAAGAGAGGAGTAGGGGAGAGGCAAGGGAAGAAGGAAAGGGTAAGGGGAGGAGGAAGGAAGATAGTAGAGAAGGGAGGGAGAGTGAAAAGAAAAGAAAAAGTAGGGTGGTGACAATACAAAATAGATGCACGGGATGGTAAGCAAAACAACCCAGATTGTATATTTTAATCTTTTATATGGAAAAACAAATATGTAAAAGTGATAAAGATAAACAAGAACAATAACTATGTGAATGTATACCTGTAACTATATATAAGAGAATAAAAATAAAAACTTATTTAAAAAAGAAGCTTCTTCAGTTATGACTGAATGGTGGAAGATGAAAGGATTTGGCTTGAAAGTGGGGTCAAAGAGGCCATCTACATTAAGAGTGAACATCTTTCTTTCAACAGAGGGAGATGGATATGACACCACCTATCTCCTGTTTGAGGGACACAGTGGCTCAGTGGCTAAGACGCAGAGCTTGTTGATCAGAAAGGTCAGCAGTCCGGCGGTTCAAATCCCTAGTGCTGTGTAACGGAGTGAGCTACCATTACTTGTCCCAGCTCCTGCCAACCTAGCAGTTCGAAAGTAGATGCAAGTAGAAAAATGCAAGTAGGAAAAATAGGGACCACCTTTGGTGAGAAGGTGACAGCGTTCCGTGAACCTTCGGCATTTAGTCATGCTGGCCACATGACCATGGAGACGCCTTTGGACAGCGCTGGCTCTTCGGCTTTGAAATGGAAATGAGCATGGGGCCCTGGAGTTGGGAACAACTAGCACATATGTGCAAGGGGAACCTTTACCTTTACCTTTACCTTTTATCTCCTGTCTACAACACAGTCCTTTCAGCAGTTCCAAGAAGGCTCCACACCCACTTGCACTATTAAGGTGACCCTGAGGACACAGATCAACCTCCAAGTGGCCTCAACAATTCTCATAAAGAGTGCTAATAACCAGATGACTGCAAGGAATGTGAATCCTTCCATCCTCCACCATTCAGTCAGAACTAAAGAATCTTCTTAGATGAGAAGCAAAACGCTTTGAAGGAAAAACAAACTGCAGTTGCCATTTGAAAAAGCACTTATGGGTCAACCATGACCTGGATGACTGAGAATCTCCATAGATGTATCCTGAAGTAGGCAAAAGTTTTAAGTAACCACTAAAGATCACTCAAAACCACAAGGATATGCAGGCCAAGTAGCCCGATTAATTTTTCTTTGGAGTCAATTCAGGTCGTCCTTGACTGACAATCACAACTGACCCCAAAGAGCTTTGACCCATTTTACAATCTTTCTTGCATTAGTGGTTCACTGAATCCCTACACTTTTTACATTAGTAGCACAGTTGTAAAGTGAATCTGGCTTCCCCATTCCCCATTTGCTTGTCAGAAGATCACAAAAGGTGATCAAATGGCCCAGGGACACAGCAACCACCATCAATATAAGCCAGTTGCTATGCATGCAAATCTTGATTATGTGACCATGGGGATGCTGCAAGTGAGAAAAATGCTCATAAGTCTCTTTTTTTCAGTTCTGTTGTGACTGAATGGTCATTAAATGAATGGTTGTATGTTGAAGATTACCTGTATAAGCTTTGAATGTTGCAGTAACTCCATCTGGATCATTTCCTGTTTCATGATTGTTGCTTTTCTTTTTTTTTTACAGTGTCCTCCATGTGAGAAGGGGTCATCATATGCAAATGTAAGTAAGAGTTTGATGTTCCTGTCACTCTGAGATTCCAACAAACTTTGAATGAAGGGAAGTGATCTCCCTTGAATGTTAGCCTTGAACTGGCACTCAACTGAACTTATAATTTCAATATGCAGTGTTTGGCTTTTTAACAGTGGTCCTTTCCTTATAAGTCCTCAACTTATAACCTATCAAGCTCCAGCATTTTCAATTAGCATGGTCCTTGTCCACGCTAGCTAGCTAGGAATTCTGAAAATTGGGACCTTAAAGCAGTGTTTCTCAATCTTGGCAATTTGAAGATGAGTGGACTTCAACTGTCAGAATTCCCCAGTCAGCAAGCTGGCTGAGGAAGTCTGGGAGTTGACGTCCACCCATTTTAAAGTTTAGAAACACTGTTGCAGAGAGTAGAGAAGATGTGCGCCAAAAGAATCACTTGGAATCATATGGAAATTCTTGGTGGGACAAGACAGAAGATAGGTGAAGACTCAAGAAGGCAGAGGTAGAATAGATAAGTAGATTAACAGACTTGGAAGGGATCTTTGAGGTGTTCTAGTTCAAGCAGGAGACTCTGTACCATCTGAGGCTAATTCAGGCAAATGGTAGATTGAAACAATCCTGGTTTTGTGACTGTGGCCATCAGAATATTTGGAACAGCTGTCAATTGTCCCACTAGGGTTAAATTCAAATCATGGCCTACAGAACCTGGGGACAGACACTGATTACAATGCCAGAAATGAGACTATAAGAGTAAACAATAAAAATGAAGATAGGGGAGAGTCAACCCTAACTAATCTTCATATGCTTGGAATGAAGTCAGAAAAGATTTCTGAGTCAGAAGCTCTTAATGTTGACAAGTTTTTCTTCCTGGCAAGTCTACTGTAAGAGCAGAACAATTTTGGGTTGCTCCAAGGAATTCTTATTATTTTTAGACCAATGGGCCTGCAGATGATGGCTTGGTAATGAAAAAGATTTTCATTTAACCTATGTTAGGGCTTGCAGCACAAAATATTAGTGCTCCTCCTCTCTAAAAAGCAAGATAATTGGCCACTGTCTTTCAGCCTGTCTTCTTAGCAGCTGTTCCAAGGTCCTGTCATTGCTTACAGTCCTCCAAGAAAGTCTTCTCCTGATTAATGAGTTTGCTTCAGGGTGGAGCTTAAAGCAAGACACAGGATCAAAGGAAGAATGGCAACTCTAGAGAGAAGGCATGGAAAGTAAACCCAAGCTTTAAAATAACTTGGGGGGGGGGTTGGCAGGGGGAGGGGAAAATGATCAATTACTAATGCAATGCAATTCCAGAACAGATGTTCACTGACCATTAAGGGAAATTAGCCAGTCATTCACATATTCACAGAGTCAAAGGGGGTCATTTATGCCATCCTGTGAAACCTACTGTTCCACACAGAAATCCAAATTAAAGGTTTTCTGACAGATGGCTGCCCAGCCTCAGCTTAAATACATTTTGTGAAAGAGTCCAACACTTCCCTTGGTGCTGAGTTCCAAATTATTTTTACTATTAGAAAGTTTTTGCCTATTGTTGAATCAAAACCTATATAATTACTCCATCTCCTGCATTCTGATGTAGAACAATCTCGGTGATTATTTTTGCCATGCTTTTTCAAGAATTTCGTAGAATCAAAGGGTTTTGAAGGTCTTCTAGTCCAACCCTCTGCCCAAGGCAGGAGATCTTATACCAGTGATGGCGAACCTTTTCAGCACCGTGCCAAAAATGGAGCATGCACACTCATCTGGGCCACAACCTGGAAGAGGAGCTGCCCAGGGTGCATTTGCACACCAGAAAATGAACTTCCAGTTTCCATTGCACATATGCACATCAGCCAGCTAGTTTTCTGGGTTTCTGGCATGCATATGACAATCAGCTGGCCTGACATGCATGCTTACACAGAAAAATGGAAGACTAGCTCTTCCAGTTTCCGGCACTGCCACACGCACAAAGGCCAGCTGATTGTTGTGCATGCATGCAAAATCAGAAGACAAATGGGTGATGCCACGCATGCCAGGCAACATGGCTCCATGAACCACTTCGATCATGCATGCCATAGGTTCACCATCACGGCCTTATACCATCCCAAACAAATGGTTGTCCAATCCTTTCTTGAACATCTCCAGCAATGGAGCACCCATAATTCCAGGAGGCAAACTGTTCCATTGATTAATTGTTCTCATTATCAGGAAATTCTTCTTTCTTTCCAGATTGGATGTCTCTCTGATGAACTTCCACCCATTGCTTTTGTTCTGCCCTTAGTCCATTGGAGAATAAGTTAACTCCCTCTTCCCTGTGACAGCCCTTCAAGTATTGGAAGACTTCTATCAGGTCTCCCCTAAACCTTCTCTTAGGCTGGACATACCAAGTTCCCTTAGCTATTCATCATACGATTTAGATTCCAGACTCCTTATCATCTTTGTTGCTCTTCTCTGCACTCTTTCTAGGGCATAGGCATCTTTTCTGTATCACGAACTGGATGCAGAATTCCAAGTGTAGAGCAGTATAAAAAGGTAAAGGTTCCCCTCGCACATATGTGCTAGTCGTTTCTGACTCTAGGGGGCAGCGCTCATCTCTGTTTCAAAGCTGAAGAGCCAGCGCTGCCGGAAGACATCTCCGTGGTCATGTGGCTGGCAGGACCAAACACCGAAGGCACACGGAGTACTGTTACCTTCCCACCAAAGGTGGCCCTTATTTTGCTACTTGTATTTTTTACATGCTTTGGAACTACTAGGTTGGCAGAAGCTGGGACAAGTAACAGGAACTCACTCTGTTACACGGCACTAGGGATTCGAACTGCCAAACTACCAACCTTTCTGATCAACAAGCTCAGCATCTTAGCCACTGAGCCACTGCATCCCCTTTAGAGCAGTATAGAGCAGTACTATCACTCCTCATGATTTTTAAGGTGGTCTGTTACATCCTTCCATGATCTTCTCATGATTAAAAGAGCAAAGCTACTTCCATCTCTCTTCCCAGAATTTATTTTCTAGTTCCCTGATTATTCTTGTTGTCTCCTGCATGATGTATTTCATCAAGATCCTCAAGTTGTCATTTGCCCTCCTTATCCCCCAATGGACACTGATGCTTGGACTTCCTTGCTTAAGAATGTATAAGAAAGGATGTCCATAAATTCTCCAGTCTGAGTTTGATACCTGAGAAGATTATATAGTGAATCATAAAGATTTGTAAAAACATTGAAAGCAATGCTAATTATCAGAAATCTGCATAGATAAATGTGTACTTATCTTACATTTTGATCTGATAACTTCCTCAGTAGAAAGTGGGAATGGTTTAGACATAATATTTCTTGATTTCAGCAAAGCATTTAACAATGTACCCTTTGATCATAGATAAGTGGCATGAAAAATAGATACCTAGTAGGCTCAAAAGTTGCACCCTGGCTACCTTCTCATTCCTACTTCCTCATCAAATTCAAGTGAGTTACTGAAAGGAGTGCCACAATCCCTGGTTCTTTCATTTCCCTTTTGAGAGATAGGGACATTATACACCATCTTCCATCATCTCTCACCTTCTTCAGAATTCCTTAAAGATAATATATAAAGGTTTGATTGGACCATCGGCAAGTTCTTCCAATATTATTGCATATACTTCATGTAGTCCTGACGATTTGAATTTTCACTGTAAATACGTATTATCCAATAACGATGCTCAAACACCAAACATTTCTCATGAGCATTTATCAGTTCCAGTCTTCAAGCTTTTCCTTCACTCTGTATTTTATAATAGTTTTGTGAGATACATCCTTCCTTTTCAAAGATGCTATGAAGAAAATGTGGCTGTGTGGGTCTCCAGTATGTTTCCTGCCCCAGTGTAAGTTCTTGGTGCTGATTTTAGAGCCCTGGAACTCTTTTCTGCCCAAAGTCTTTGTTCAACATTAGTGGTTCTTCCTCCAGATTTTCCACCAGGGTGACTTGGCTGCAGGGGGCCCACTTTCCAAAGTGGGCATAGGGATCCAATCCATTGAAAAGGCCCCCCTCTCAATTCACTTCCTCTGTGTAATTACAAATAACATGCATAACTGTTGTCATTTGCACAGTAACTTTATTTATTTATTGCCCATCCCCCTCACAATATTGCCATAACTCAACTGATATTACTTGCCCTGTCGGGTACAATAAATCAGAAGCAAGACAGTTCAAAGGACTGCAGATTTATTGTGTGCCAATGCTCTCTACAAAAATCTGAATTACTAACAGTCAAGGCAAGTTGGTAGTAGATAAGAGCCAATGGAATTCAAGGTAGGCTGGGTTTAGATCTCTTATAAGTGAGAAGAGATTCGAGGCTGGAGACATACTTGACTGGCTCCCTCAGGCTCTGCCTGATCGTCTCCTATATATCCTTTTTTATACCCTTGAGGGATTTAGATGATGGTGGAACTCATTATGAGCCATGGTGGTGCAGTGGTTAGAGTGCGGTACTGCAGGCTACTTCTGCTGGCTGTCGGCTGTCTACAATTTGGCAGTTCAGATCTCACCAGGCTCAAGGTTGACTCAGTATTCTATCTTTCTGAGATGGGTAAAATGAGGACCCAGATTGTTGAGGGCAATATGCTGACTCTGTAAACTGCTTAGAGAGAGTTGTAAAGCACTGTAAAGCGGTATATATGTCTAAGTACTATTGCTATTACAATTTTATTTTATTTACTTATTAAATGTTTATGCTGCCCATCTGCCCTATAAAGTAAGTCAGCAAAGAAAATCAAGGTCCGTTTAGCATTAGCTTAAGCTTTCGGTAGCTTTGCATCTAGTTTAATTTTAAGGGCCCACTTTTGTGCTAAGCTAGATAATTTTATCTTCCCTGGTCTATCAACTATTGCATATTTTGGGGATGGTTGTTTGTTTGCTCTAATGTTTTATAGCAACCTTATAGTTTGCTCAAGAATTTTAGTGCTGGGCAGCTTAGACAAATTAAAAACACTGCAGTCCTTCTGCAAAGAGTCTCCCTCTCCTAGTCAGGACTCCCAGTTGTAGCAAGAAGTGACTACAAC